TTCTTACCCCGATCTTGGTACGCAGCTCGACGAGTCTCTGACGCCCAAGAGGTTTTGTTAGCATGTCGGCAAGCTGTTCTCCCGTTTTCACATACTCCACTTCGATCTCCTTTTTTTGGACACAATCACGTATGAAATGATACTTTGTGTCTATATGTTTGCTCCTATCATGATACACCGGGTTCTTCGTGAGAGCAATAGCTGACTTGTTATCGATTTTGAGAACTGCCGTCATGTTCTTCTCCCCAATCAATTCTCCAAGCATGCGACCCAACCAAACTCCTTGGCAAGCAGCCGCTGTGGCAGCTACATATTCCGCCTCACAAGAGGATAGCGCCACCACTCTTTGTTTTTGTGACACCCAAGTGATTGGGCTTGCACCAAGAAAGTATATGACTCCTGTGGTGCTCTTGCGGTCGTCGACATCTCCGGCGAGATCACTATCACTGTACCCTATCAGCCCAGTTTCTGACTCCTTCCTTCTTTCAAAGACGCAGCCATGATTGATGGTACCTCGCACATACCACAGTATCTGTTTCACTGCTACCATGTGAGTTGTAGTTGGCGCTTCCATGTATCTACTCACCACCCCAACAGAGTATGCAAGATCTGGCCTGGTGTTTACCAAATACCGTAGACTCCCGACGACACTTCTGTACATGAAAGTGTCAACTGGAGGGCTCGCATCCGTCTTGCTCAGCTTCGTTCTCGGCTCCATGGGGACTTGACAATGATTGCAATTTGCCAACTTCAGCTTTTCTAGAATCTTCATAGCATATCCCGACTGACTTATCATTATTGCATTCGGATCCTGCCTCACCTCAATTCTAAGATAGTAACTCAAGAGCCCGAGATCACTCATCTCAAACAATCTCTTCATTTGCTCCTTGAAAAACACAATGTCCTTGACATCTGATCCGGTGATGATGAGATCATCTACGTAAACCCCCACAATTTGAACTGCATTACCTTGCCGCTTCTTGTACACTGCATGCTCGAGAGGGCACCTTTCAAAACCGAGTGATTGAAGGCATTTGTCGAGCTTTGAATTCCAAGCGCGAGGAGCCTGTCGCAGCCCGTACAATGCTTTCTTCAACTTTAGTACTTTTTCTTCTTGGCCTTCTTCTACAAACCCCTTTGGTTGTGCCACGTAGATCTCCTCCTCTAGCTCACCGTTTAGGAAGGCGGACTTGATGTCCATGTGATGTACCTCCCAGTCTTCTTATGCTACTAAAGTGATCAACATCCTCACGGTCTCGAGCCTTGCGACTGGAGCGAATACTTCGTTGAAGTCCACACCCTGCTTTTGCACATACCCCTTTGCCACGAGTCGAGCTTTGTACTTGACCACATCACCTTCCGGATTCTTCTTGACTTTATACACCCATTTTAGATCGATTGTCCGGTGACCTTTTGGAAGATCAGCGAGTTCCCAGGTGTGATTCCTTTGTATGGCTGCAATCTCCTCTTCCATAGCTTTCTTTCAGCAGTCACTATCCTCAGCTTCTTCAAAAGTTGCTGGCTCCTCGACGAAGAGGAAACACAGTGCTGCCTCTCCTTCCACCTCACGGGTCTCATCATATATTTCCTACAAGCTACGGTATCTCAAAGGTTTTTCAGAACTTGTTAAGGAATCAGGTGTACCTTTGTGTGCAACAGCTCTTGGTGTACATGGTGGCGCAGCTGTCTCGTTGTCGCTTCTTGGAGTTCCACCAATGCCCGAGCTATCCGAGGAGGCTGGGGTTCTCGGCTCTTGCTCAGCTTCTGCTTGCACTGGCTTATAATGCACTGTAAACACCTCATTTGAGTTGTATATCTTGTGACTTTGTGTGGTAGAAGACTCCCAGTTCCATTCTCTATCTTCATCAAAAATTATGTCCCTGCTCACGTGCAGCTTCTTCTGGTCCGGATCATACACCCGGTACGCCTTTGATCCAGGTTCGTAGCCGAAGAAGACTATCGGTACACTTCTATAGGACAACTTCGTCAAGTGTGGGCTCACTGTTTTGACATGTGCCACGCAACCAAACACTCGCAAATGTTGGACATTCGGCTTTCTTCCCGTCCATGCTTGATATGGTGTCATTCCCTCCAGACTTTGAGTCGGCGCTCGATTAAGCAAATATACAGCAGTCCTCACAGCTTCCCCCCAGTAGACCGCCGGTACATGCTTGCTCTTCAATAGACTTCTTGCCATGCCCAACACCGTTTGGTTTCTCCTTTCGACCACGCCGTTTTGTTGAGGAGAGTACGGCGCAGTCAGATATCCCTTGATTCCCAGCTCCTCATAGTAAGATGTGAATTCATTTGAGGTAAATTCACCTCCCCGATCAGTTCGAAATGCCTTCAGTTTGTTCTCAGCTTCTGCCTCAACACTTGCTTTGAACTTCTTGAAAGCATCAAATGCCTCGCACTTGCTTTATAGCATTACTACCCACATGTATCTACTATGATCATCCACTAGTAGCATAAAATATTTGTTACCTGTCGGTGTAGCCGGTGTGATCGGGCCACAGAGGTCACCATGTACGAGTCCAAGCGGCTTGTCGGCTCGAAAACTTGTGCTGTGAGGGAAGGGAGCTCTGTGATGTTTGCCAATGGTGCAGCCATCACAGATCTGTGTCACGTGCTCTACGGTAGGCATGCCGATCACCATCTCCTTCAGGGCCAACTTCCTCAGGGCTGGATGTGTCACGTGCTCTACGGTAGGCATGCCGATCACCATCTCCTTCAGGGCCAACTTCCTCAGGGCTGGAAAGTTCAAGTGCCCATACCGAGCATGCCAGCGCCACGCATCATCTCCTAGGCTTCCCATCAAGCACACTGGATAAGCCACCTTGAGGTTGACTACGTACAACCTATTCTTAGACTTCCTCACGTTGGCCAAGAGCTTGCTGCTCCTGTCATAGATGCGCAGATGGCCTCCCTCTATTACTATTTTGCACCCATTTTCGTCCAGCTGCCCAAGGCTCATGATATTGCTGCATAGTTTTGGTATATAATACACATTTGTTAGAATTCTATGCTCACCATTCTGGCATTGAAGCATGACAGTTCCTCTCCCTTGTATCTCCACGACCGAGCCATCGCCGAATTTGACTCTGCCGCACACCTTCTCATCGAGGTCTGAGAATTTCTTCCTACAACCAGTCATATGATTGCTAGCACCAGTATCCAGGTACCAAATGTCGGTCTCGTAGATCACTTCTTCGCTGCTCAGCTTTGGCTTCATATTTTCTTCGTGAAACATCATCTTTTCTCCCTCTCCTTGAGTCGTGTACAGGGACTCGCACTCCTCGGTCAGAAGTAATGCAGGTTCATCGTCGTGTTGCTTTTCAGCAAAGTGGGCTCTCTCCTCCTTCTTCGGCTTCCGACATTCAGAAGCATAGTGACCATGATTCTGACAGTTGTAGCAGTGGACTTTCGCCTTGTCGAACTTGTGATATTTCTTGCCAGAGTCGTTGGAGCGCTCCTCATCGCTGCGCCCAAGTCCCCGGCCACGGCCGTGGCCACGACCACCGCCGCGCCCACGACTACCTCCTCCATCTCGCTCTTTCCAGCCACTACCGAAGCCCTCACCTCCGTGTGCTCACCTTCCGTGTTGCCAAAACCTCGCAAGTGCTCTTCATGTGCCTTGAGCCGGCCAAACACCTCCTCGGCCATCATCTCACTCAAGGCACAGAACTGCTCTAATGTGGAAGCAATTTGTAGAAACTTTGGTGTCACCGCTCGCAACACCTTCTCCACCACAACAATGTCATCCATCTTCTCCCCCATGGCGCGCATCTTGCTGACCACCGTGGTCAGCCGCATAGCGAACTCATCGACGGACTCCCCTTCTCGCATACGGAGAGCCTCGAACTCTGTCTTGAGGATCTGCAGTTTCGCCCTCGTCACACGATTGGCCCCCACGTACATGGACTTCAACGCAGCCCACGCATCTTTGGCCGTCGTCTTCTCGGCGAGGAGAAGGAGGATCTCCTTGTTTACCCCCTGGTAGATGGTCGCGAGTGCCATCTTATCGCGTCGGTTGTCAACTCTACCCTCGGCCTCGACGGCGTCCCACACGCCCTGAGCCTGCATGTAGACCTTCATTTTTATGGACCACGCCGGGTAGTTGCTGCTTGTTAGCAGCGGGTATTTGAGTGTAATACTCTCCTCTCTTCCCTCATTTGATGTCGCTTCTCCGCCAGTGACACGACTCGACGATGACGGAGACTCCGATCTTGCCATGATCTTAGGCATTCACACACCGCAGCGCTCTGATACCAAATGTAGAAAATTGGGTTGCAGGGACTCAAAGCTCTTCACTGCAGATTGCAGGAACTCAAAGCTTTTCACTGCTAGTTGAAAGATAAAACAGAGGACTCTTCACTGCAGATGGAAAAAACAAAACAGAATAGAATAGAGCAGAGGAAGTGGGAGAACACTCTTTTTTTTTTATTAAAGAAGGAGAGATTAGCTGGATGCCTTTGATCACAATAGAGCTCAGCAATTTATACAAGAGAGAAACTAACAACCCCCCACGTTCAACTCTGTTGAAGCTAACAACCCACTAGACTAGGTCCTCTTCTAACAAACTAACAAACTCACACCTGTTGAAGCTAACACCCCACTAGACTAGGTCCTCTTCTAACAAACTAACAAACTCACACATACGTGCAACAAGTTTAACTCAACAGCACATACATACATACATATAAAATAGCATAAAATATTAAAACGTTATACAATTATGTAGGCTCCATTTTCATTTCATGGCTTTTGAGTAGCATAGTTCTAGAAAGAACTAGGACAGAAAGGAGAAAGAAATCATTTTTTTATTAAATTACATAGAATGTTCTAGAAAGAGAAAAATTATCCCGTGTGAAATTCCAAGTTTACCCTTTCACAAACAATTGGAAATGATGTTTTGCCCACCACTCCTCCATTTTATCGCTGCCCCTAGTTGGTCCTTTCTAGATCTATATTAGTGTAGATAGTACAGATCCATATATTTTCTCGATTCCTTTGCATGTTCCTCTTTGTAATTTATTTCCATCTTTATGCAATCTCGTGAGAAAACATGCTTTTATTTGTTTCGTTTTCCATTGATGATTTGCTTTATATAGAGGCATCTTTCCAGTGTTATATATTTTAAGATTTCAACTTGCAGATCAATAGTCTTCTTGGAACCAAAGTCGAGTGGCTTTACTACATACTTCAGGCATTTAATACTGGCAATTTACTTGGCTATCAAGAGCTGTGTCGAGTTCATAATGCTGCTTTGAGTGCTCAGCCGGCAGTACTGGTGGAGAATGAAAAGAAGCTGCTGGAAAAAAAAAATTAACATTCTCTGTTTAAGGGAGATCATCTTTAGGTAAGATTTTCTCAATTGGATTAGAAGCCTAATTGATTACAGGTTCTCAAATTCTGGTGTCGCTTGCAGGTAAGATTTTCTCAATTGGATTAGAAGCCTAATTGATTACAGGTTCTCAAATTCTGGTGTCGCTTGCTCCTATAACTTCTACTTTCTATTTATATTATCATTTGACTTTAAGTTGGAAATTCCTGTTTCTTGCAGTCGCCCCTCTGAAGACAGGACCATCCCGTTGAGTGTCATTGCTGAACAAACTAATCTTTCAGTGGAAGACGTGGAGTATCTTCTCATGAAAAGTCTCTCTGTAAGTGCTACTCATAATCATGCTATTTTTTTATGAATCAATTCTACTGTTGGCATATGTTTAGGTGGAGTGGTGATCTAAAAACCAACGTGAGGATCAGAAGCTAAAACGTTTTGTTACTGACTCACTGACAGTATCCTTTCTTTGTTACGACAATTTTGGGAGTTTGTCCCTCATTATACAGGCTTAATTTAGAGACCAGTAAGACAGGTTCCACTTGAGGAATGGTACTCTAGGTCTTATGCCAAGATCCATGATAACCTGAGCTAAGGAATTTGACACCATATCTCTTTTATATGCAGTCGTAATTGATTTGTCGAACGTGATTTCATCATATCCCACAATTATGTCATGATTTTTTGTATTATTTCTTAGCTTGTCATTATTTGGAATACTATCTCGAATTTATTACGTAATATTCCAAATGCCGTGGCGTAGCTGAAATGAGTAACTACGTACACTGGTCCACCTAATTGAAGGAATATCATAGACCAGGCTGAAGGAACAGTACGTCCATGTCTCGTGGGTGCAGCCTAGGGTTTAGCCCAGGTAAAATCGCTGAAAGATCGTTTGGACGGCTGGCTAAAAAAAGTACGCACAGCTTTGTTATCGGTGGAGGCAGAAAGCACCTGACCTTGTGGCCTCATGTGTTTGTGTTTTCTGCATCATAACAGCGCAAAGAAGCGCAAGAAAGAACGCATTTGATGCCGTGCTTTGTGACCCTCCATTAAGTGTTTTCTGTGCTCGGAGCAACAAATTTGAACTGGGGAGTTTCTGTATTTTTTTTTTAAATACTTCAGGTAGCGCCAAAACTAGAAATAGGCTTACAAACACAGGGGAAGAATTATACAAGCTACTGCTGTTTTAACGTACTGCTGCTTTGTAGTTCCCATTCCTAAAACTTCTTTTCAATCTTTTATATAGTTGGTTATATCTGGTATTTACAAGAAAATATCCTAAAACTTCTTGTGATTTCTCAACTGCGAATGATTGCTAAGTTGGTCCTGTTGTGCGCCGTGGAAGCCGAATCGACAAGTCAATAGCACACACAAGAACCAATAATAGATCACAATAATAACAAGCAACACCAACCACAGCAAGAACACAAAATTTACGTGGTTCAGCAATGTGCCTACGTCCACGGGGCAACGAGGGGGGAGTTTTACTAATGGAAATCAAGGGGAGTACAAATTAGGGTTACAAATCTTACCAAAACCCACAAATAAGTCCTCTTAATCTCTCCAAATGGCTCTAACAATAGAAGCCCCAAACCTCCTCTTTCAGCTGCTCAAAATCTTCTCCCTCAAACCCTAAAAACGAGCAAATGATATTTATACAACTCTCAAACGAAACGGGTCTGAAACCCAGAATTCAGCCCAACCGCTTCGGCGATCGACCGTGACGGTCGACCGCGATGGCGGTCGACCGCCCTCAATCCCAGAACAACACCATAATCCAGAGAAAACCACGGTCGACCGTGACAGTCGACCGTCAAAAAACAGAAACTTCTGTGGTCGACCACCACGGTCGACCGCCACTAATCCAGACGCACAGTGCCTTCTGTGCACGAACGCGATCGACCGCCACGGTCGACCGCCAACCTGTCAACTGCCTGTTCTGAACCATCAATTGCCAATTTTTACAAATCTTCACCTCGGCGAAGATTTTGCCAAAACTGAGCCGACACCACAAACACTCCGAGAGAGAGCTGAAACTATCTCACCCCCGATCAAATTCAATTCACACAACCGGCTGCATCTGCAAGACTGCCTACGTATCCTCTTGCCTAAAGAATCAAGCCGAACGTAGTTCATCCAAATGACCGCCAACGGTCTCAACAATGAAGAATGTTTAATAAGTTCAAACAATGACCAAACTTCACATCTGGTATAACTTTGGTCAACATATCAGCAGGGTTGTCCTTAGTGTGGACCTTCTCCAACGTGACATCACTATCATCCAATACGTCACTTACAAAATAAAATCTGACATCAATGTACTTCGTGCGTGCATGGTAGACTTGGTTCTTTGTCAAATAGATAGCTGACATGCTATCACAATATACCTGAATGGTCTCCTGTGCAATCCCCAAATCATCCAACAAACCATGTAGCCACAAAGCCTCCTTCACTGCTTCAGTCACCGCCATATATTTCGCCTCCGTAGTAGAAAGCGCTACTGTAGACTAAAGAGTGCATCTCCAACACACTGGTGCACCAGCCAATGTAAAAACATAAACTATAGTGGACCGACGTTTGTCAAGATCTCCGGCATAGTCTGAATCCACGTAGCCAATACAATCATGCCCTGTCTCATCATTCTTCATAAATATCAACCCAACATCCACGGTACCCTTAATATACCGTAGAATCCACTTCACGGCCTCCCAATGCCCCTTCCTAGGTTTGTGCATGTACCTAGATACCATGCTCACGGCCTGTGATAAATCTGGCCTCGTACACACCATAGCATACATCAAGCTACCCACTGCACTGGCATATGGAACTTTGGACATGAAGTCCCGATCCTCCACTAAAACTGGTGACATCAAAGCTGAAAGGTTAAAGTGGGGAGCTAATGGAGTACTCACCACCTTGGTATTGCCCTCAAACCTGACTTTCTTCAGCATCTTCTGCAAGTAACTCATCTATGTAAGATTCAATCTCCCCTTCACCCTGTCTCGCTCAATCTCCATACCCAGTATCTTCTTAGCCTCTCCCAGATCCTTCATCTCAAATTCAGATGACAGCTCCTTTTCAATTTCCCAATAGCTGAAGTGTTTCTGGAAGCAATGAGCATATCATCAACATATAATAACAAATGAATGTGCTCATTATCCTGTAGTTTGCGCATATACACACACGGGTCATAAGGGCTCCTCGTGTACCCTTGGCCAATCATAAAGCTATCAAATCTCTTGTACCACTGTCGCGGTGCTTGCTTCAGTCCATAAAGAGATTTCTTCAATTTGCACACTAATTTTTCCCTTCCTGTAGCTTTAAACCCCATAAGTTGTGTCATGTAGATCTCCTCATCTAAGTCTCCATGTAGAAATACCGCCTTCACGTTCATTTGGACCAAATCCAAATCCAGCTGTGCTACCAATGCCAATAGAATCCGAATAGACGAATGCTTCACAACGGGTGAAAATACCTCGTTGCTAATCTAATCCGATTTAAATGCCAATTAAAATTAATTAATACGTTATCCTAGCAAGTATGAAATACAACAATATTTGTAAGCTAGGATAAGCAATGTAAACAATAAGATATATCCTATATGATGAAATATATATGCAAGGATATATAAACTAACACAAGGGTAAACAATATGAACTAGATAGTGGATGATATAGATAGTGATCTAATGACAATGGCGATATAAGATATGAACATAAATATGAATGAACGCCAAAGCACACTCAAACAAGCAATATGATCACGGAGTTCGGACCTTCCGTCCTACGTCTCCGCTCCCCACTCCCGGGGAGAAATCCACTAACACAATCCGGTTTGGAAGCCGGAACTTCTTCTACACACTCGGTTTTCTAGCTAACCGAAAACTCTACAACTCACACTCTTGCAATCACACTCTACACCCACTAAGTGTTGGACCTAGCCGTGTCTCCCTCAAGTGCTCGGTTACAACCTCTCTCTAGGCACGTCAACCGACGCCACTCCTCTTGGGACGATCCCCGACTCTCACCACACACTCCTCACTCGGTGTACAAGTGTATTACAAAGTGATTCTCACAATAAGCACAAATATGACAAATGATTGTTCTCAAAACAAGGTGAGAACTCAATTAAGCACAACTCTTAGTCACAAACCCACAACCCCAAATTATACTATGAATGTAAATACAATAAGCTCAAAAGGTTGTGTGTGAACAAAGAGATATAAATCAAAACTAAACTCAATGTAGTTCTAGCTTAATAACAATGATAATCAAATATATAAAAAAGCTAGAAATAGAGTTTAGAAAACTTCTCAATATATCAAGAGTGGAGGGAGAAGAGTTGGATGCCCAAACACCAATAGATGATCTCCTCAAGCTCTTGTAGAATTGAATCACAAAAACAAACTCTCAATTTGCTTAAAAGCTTTTTAAACACACTTAAACCAAACTAAAACCCTTGTTAAAAACTTTATTAAACTTGATTAAAAACTCTATTAATCTAATTTGAAAAGACATCAGCAATGGGGTATATATACCCACTAGAAATCTTCAGCAAAAAACACCCAAAACAAAAGACCAAAAGACCCAGCCAACGGTACAAAAACTAGCCGTTGGAAACAGTAAAAGCCATCGTCGGTCGACCGGAAATTCTGTCGGTCGACCGATTTGAGCTCTCGGTCGACCGAAGGAAGGTCAAACTCCGGCGAGTCAACCAAAGTCGCCGTTAATCCCAATAACTTCTCCGGGAGATCATGCAGAGTCATCCCGCAAGAAGAAATCAATTTTGGAACGCCTCGGTCCAGTTCCTGACGTGAGAGGCAAAGCTCCAATTCACAAGCGTTTGGGCCCGATGAAGAAGCCCAGAACGACTCAACATACTGGGGGTCGCCATCACCTCCAGCATGACAAAGAGCTCAAGGCAGCTGCGCGCACCAATTTGCGCATTGAAGTCCAAGAGCACGCCAAAAATTCACGCCCAAAAAGGCATGTTTTGAGGCAGGTAACCTTTGAAAGCCCAAAGAAGGCAAGTCACCCTCAGATGGAAACATTATCATCTGATAGTGATAGTGTTATACCTGAGAAGGCGTGCCCGCACACGATAGGTTACTCTGACTGTCAAAATGACGAGTTATACTATCGTGCTGGGGGTACGAATAGAACCAGGAAGAGGAGTCCCCGAGAACGGGAAATTCAATGTCCCTGTTCCAAACTCATTCGGGCGGTATTGTCGGAATGCAATTGCATTAAGGCGGTCCCCGAAAGAGTTTCAGTTTTTGAAAGACTTAATGCGGAAACGCCAAAACCAAGGCCTAGGCGCTTCCAACGAAGAAGAAGGGTGATTGAAGACGGAGAATTTCCGAGGGTCACCACCAACATGACGAGCAAAGGAACATCGGCACGAGAAGATTTCGAGTCGATTCTAAGAGTCTCCCGACCTAGAACCCGTCTGCAGTCCGGAACCATAGAGCGAGTAACCTATGGTAGGATTCGGACAAGACGCCCTTCAGAAGATGAAGAATCTGATGCCGGCTCCGCACTAGACAAACAACATTAGTAATAAATTGTTTGTTAAACATCATCAAAACAAGAAGGCCAACAAATACCTCGTTATAATTGATGCCCTCAAGCTGTACATATCCCTTGGCTACCAATCTGGCTTTGAACCGAATGTCCCCAATAGAAGATCCCTCCTTCTTAGCATACACCCACTTGTAACCAATAGCTTTCTTACCCTTAGGTAACTTTGTAAGTTCTCAAGTGTCGTTCTTCTGAAGAGATTGCATCTCCTCCTCCATAGCATTCCTCCACCTAATGGAATTAGGGCTAGACTTTGCCTCCCTGAATGTGGCAGGAATCAAATCATCAACGACCTCCACAGATAAAGCATATGCCACCATGACATCATCATATCTAGCTGGCCGACGAATCTCTCTCCTCGGTCTATCTGCTGCAATGGACTCTTGAGCATGTCCCTGCTCCTGAGTCTCACCATCCACTGTATCCTCCAAATACCCGACTGTCATCTCAACTCCTTCCAGTGCCACCTCTGTAGGAGTCTTAATGGACACAGTGCTGACTGGAGTGGGTGGAGTCACATCATCCTCCACCTGCTGTGATATCCCTCTTGTCTGATCTTCCTCCACCTGTTGAGGAACTCGAGACTTCATTATGTA